CCCATTTTCAAAAATGAAATTCAGGCCCTGAATAAATGTCTAAAAATCCTGATTGGAGTATCACTATAAAAAGTTATAAATTATAAAAAGAAGGCTTTAAAAAGATCGGTATCGGTGATCGGTATCAGCAGATACTGCTGTCTGGTGATCGGCCTCAAAAATCCTGATCGGAGCACCCCTAGTCTAAAGTGTTTTTGAAAAATCACATACCCTGCCTTTAAAGTGAATGACATTTTTTTTCATTCATGGGGAAATTTTTAAACAAGACATTCTCTCTAAGGTATGGGGAAAACATTTTAAGCAGTTTTATTTCCAAAGAACAAATAAATATGTCTGTAATCGAATTTTTTTTTTTTATCAGGGTCTCATGAGTCAGACAAGTACTTGCGTTAAAAACCTGTATCGGGAAAAATTATACATTTTAAATCTACGCAACCAATATTTAAAATCCACATTTAAATGTCTGTTTTATTTAGTTGGCAAGTAACCATGTAATAAGCGGAAAGATATAGTCATTACTGTAAAATAAACTGTTGCTATACAATTAACTAGTTGAATGACAGCGTCATTGTGGAGCTGTCAGAGCCACAAGTGTGTGAGAGGTAGGCTTTATGTCCACCGACCTTGGCCCAAAAAATACTGTAACTCTTCGTGCAGTCCTGCATTAACCCATACAGCGTGTTCGTGACAAATAATCATTTTGACAGACTTCCCACATAAGTTAGCGATTTTTGGCTGAAATCGCGCGTGACTCTGTGAGGAAGTTTGTCCATATGCGGTGACCGCAGTGCTGAATGAAACTTCAAGTGTTTATCTAACTTACGTTACTCAATTCGGTTAAGTGTGTCTTATTAGTTTCATCTATACGGTCAAATAAAGTGCCTAGCATTTAGCCAGCACCCCAAAGCAGGCGCTTGGACTTGTGTCTCCATAGAAATTGTGCAAACCTTTCTGCTAGAAATAAAGTTCACAGGTGATTAGCTGAGCCACGGACTTCTGCCGCTTTTTTCAACTTGCCTGATTTCCTCGCATTCTGCAGACACAGCATGGATGAGGCCCGGGCCAGCGGAGCCAGTTTATTCCATACTGTCTTGCACTTAAACATCGCAGCTCTGCTGTGCTTTTCGGAAAGACAGCCTGGGGAAGTTCACAGCCACGCTCACCATGCAGCTCTAGCACAAGGCCGGAGACCTTCTCAGGTCACACAGCTCCTACAGGCGCTTCCGGTTTCCGCTGACGGCCCGCCCTCTTTCTGCACTGATTGGCTCCGGCACTGACGGATTATTTAATAATTGGTTAGTGTTTCTGTCAGTTACAATTTATCAGTGTTACTCAATAGACGATTGGTTATTTGTGGGATACGCCTTAACTACGCAATAGGTCGTGTGACAAGAGACAGAAGGCATACAGAGGCAAGTGATTTACATTTTTATTATTACAACTGGCGTTTCAGTCATTTTTTTGTACTTATAAATAACTTTAATTATTTAAAAAATATATAATTTTTGATTTGCATTACGAACAAATTGAGAACAAACGCACGCACAATTTTTTTATATGCAGACTGAAAATCTAAAAGGATGGTTGCAAGAATACAAAGGCTAATTCACACCAACGGACAATCACCAAAGATTTAAACACGTTCAATCGAAATAGGCAACAGAATAAAATATAATTTTCTGTCATTAATTTAAGACCAAAAATATGAAAGCTGTCATGTCCAGTAATGGCAGTTTGTTTGTTTGTTTGTTTGTGGTAGTTTTTTGGACTTTTTGTTGTGATAGATAACAATTTTATATGTTAAAGTTTCTTTCTGATTAAGTTGTGCTGCTTAATAGCTTTTGGAACCTGTGATACTTTTTTCAGAATACTTTAATGAATAAAACGTTAAAAAGAACAGCCTTTATTTAAAATATAAATCTTTTGTAAGAATATACACCCAAAAAAATCAAATTTGGGGTGAATACATTTATTTTTATTTAATTATTGAAAGAAATGAATACTTTTATTTAGCAATGATGTGGTAGCCAAAATTGATAAAAAGCGATAGCATAGACTCATAATGTTACAAATACATTTATTAGGAATAAATACTGTTCTGAAACAAAAGTATCATATATTAAACATATTAAGCAGCACATCTGTTTTTAACATTTCTGAAGGATCATGCGCCACTGAAGACTGGAGTAATGCCTGATGAAAATTACAGAAATAAATTATGTTTTAAAGCATATTAAAATATAAAACCATTATTTTAAATTGTAATAATATTTTACTGTTTTTTTATTTTAAATAAATGCAACATCGTAAATAAGATAAAAAATCTTACTGATCTCAAACTTTCGAACGGCAGCGTATATAAAGGTGGAAATATTTACTATAGCACACTTGTGCCCTCCCTGTATATTAATAGTGCATGGTATACAAAACAATGAAAAAGCAACATGAACTACAGTCATGCGAACAAACCTACCAAACAGCCCCAATTATTATAGCCAGCTGGACGAAAACACATCTGTAAACAAAACCGCAAAAAGCCAGTAGCCTACAGAGGCTACTCTTCTTGATTCTGACTTTATAATATTAAGCACGGGGACGTTTATCACAGCTTTTCTTCTTTATGACTTCTCCGAGGATATTCACAGAGTGAGTTAAATATTTTAATAATAACCTCTTCATAAATCATTATCATCTTTAAATAAGAAATAGGCTATTGTAATTTAGACCAAATATAATTCTATAATTCGTTTGTTTACTTTAAAAGACTCGTGAAACAGGCAAAGATGGAGGGTATCCAATACACTGTCTCTCCACAGATCTTACACAACCGACAAATCCAGCAGGTATCGCGAGCTACGACTTGTTCAATCAAGAACTGAAACAAACCGCACAGCAGGTATTTAAAACTGCTTTAAAACCGTATTGCAATAGTGAGAAATATTCCTTTTTCAACAGAGACTGTTGCTGGACATAGCCTACAGAATTATGTACAGGGAACATTAGAAGGTAAGACAAATACATTTGTGTTTGTGTTTGTTTAGTGTTACCTGCTGTTATGCCCGCGAACGCAACTAAAAGCTGGAATACACTACACAACTTTTAATATCCGAACATATTTTAAAACACAGGGGGGGGGGCACAATCACTTCACCGTCACTTCACCGTCGGCGGGGCTCAAGCAGCGTGAGCAGCGAGAAGGGTGTTCCTGCACAACCGGAGGCTGCAGTTTCAGGACCGTAGTTCTAGGACCCTATTCTTTCGTAACAGCGCCACCTACCGAATGGGATAATATAGCGGAGGCTGCAGTTTCAGGACTGAACAGCGCCACCTACCGAATTGGATAATATAGCGGAGGCTGCAGTTTCCGCATTTCTGGGACCCTGGTGGTTTAGTTTGTAGTAATGTTTGTACATGTTGTTAAAGATATTGAATCTCAGGAACATTTTTTTTTTTCAATTGTGATTTTTGATTTATAAATGCATCAGATGTTAATTACAAAGTGTGTAATACCTGCTTTGAGTTAACAATTTTAAATTTAAATGAATTTACACTTAAAATATAAATGAAAAATGTATTTCAGTCTTTAAACAACTGAAAAAGTGGCGTACCTTAAGTCTTAGTTTCTTGAAATATACTGTATATTGAGTAGCCCCCTTAAGTTTAACTAGCTCATTATCAGGTATAATAAAGATGGAATCAACTGAAATCAGCTTTTGCAGTCACTAAATTACAGCCAGATATTTAAAAGTTTGTAGAGAGGCAAGACTCAAGAATGATTCAAGAATGCATATTTATATACTGTATATACTAATTTTTGCAATAACACGTAATACAACATCATAAAAAAAGACCCCCTTTTCCATCAGTTGCTGCATGGACAGAAAGGCTGTAGGCTTCAACTCCTGAGAGAGATAAAAAAAAGAGAGAGAGAGAGGGAGGGAGAATTAAATAAGAAACATTTGCTTTAACATGTTTAACTCTGTAATATATATTTCTGATTTAACACTTATGCACTGTTGGGGTTGTAGAGAGAGAGAGAACCAAACAGAATAATCATGTTACTGACATCTAACTCCAAACT